AGGAATGCTACATAATTTTGGCCATGGATGAGGCTCCTTGCAGTCCAGCACAGCTAAAGAGAGCAATATCAAGCTGGATGGAGAGAGTTGACCATCGGTTCTGTTTCAATATTGCAGCCTTGACTGCTGCATGGGACATTATTCTAGGTGGTATAGTTGGGCTTCTTTGCAGGCGTTTATCTGATGTGGGTGAGGGAGTTTCTCTGTGCCACTTGATCTTGGCTTTCTGTGAGAAATGTGAATTACCAATTTCAAATCACATGTAAGAGCTCCTGGGCTGTGCTGAGGGTGCGTAACAGCCCATTCAGCTTTACTCAGATGATTAGGTTACTGCTTTTAGTACAAAATACATGGCAAAGCAGTCATTTCTATGCATGTTCTAGAGTGGTACATTATTGCATTTTAGCACTTGACATGAGAGTAATTTACACACAGCCATTGCTTGTCCTCCATGAAAAACAAACCCTCTACAAGCAGAGGCAAAAAGTCTGCTAAAGATTTCATATTATTAATGTTTATGGCATTTGTTGCAGCACTGCCTGTTAATTACCACATTTAAGAGTGTGCCCGTCTTCTGTGAGGGGTAGGTGTCGATTTGGAATGATGCTTTTTGAAAAAATGTTGACACAGCATCATTGCATCTCAACAGATTTGTGGGCCTGATTCTGCTCTCAAGCAAAGTGCAAATTGGGACTAAGCCTGCTGAAGAAAGTGAAATTGGCCTGGTGTAAAAACGTCTTTGAATCAGACCCTCTGATTTCAAAGGCTCCTAGCAGTCCTAGGGCAATACAAGTCAGTGAGAAAACAGGCCATGTGTTGGAGGGGGCACATTTGCTAAACTTGTGAGGCAGGGACTGTGTGTATGCAAATCTGAAGCTCTGCCTCTAGGACTTACCGTCGTTCAGACAGCAACTTCTTCCTCCTCTCCCTGTGGAGTGCCTCTACTGTAGCCAGGCATTTTACACGGAGTGCAAAAATTGCTGGATAAAGAGCAGTGCTTTCTTTTGTCTGTTTTTGCTCTGAAGGTGACTCCAACTGTTTGTTTCTTCCTTTGACTGTTCCTCGTGCTTCCATCTGGCCATTTCTTTCTGCGTGACCGGAAAACCCTGCTGTCTCGCCAAGCTCAGACACTGTGGTCATCAGGGAGCTGTGCATGGCCCTACACATAGGGGCATCACACAGGTGGTGGAAAGGTGAGGAAAGGTAGCATCATTCAGTGGAAAAAAGGTCAGGAGAGTCCTTAACTTGGCACCATGTCCTCTTACTGTTCCTGTTCCCCACACCTGCTTGCTGTCCTGCTGTGGCTGGCTGGCAGGGAACCTGGGCCTGAGAGGTGCTGCGCACTTGTTAGGAAGCAGCTTTATCTACCTCAGCAGTGTCTGAGATGGCCAGCCCCACGCTTGGTTTAGTATCTTTGGTTCCATGCTTCACAGCATGGAACTATTATGTTCACTAGAAAAATTACAGTTTGGCCTGTCTTTTATGGATCTGTCTCTCACTGTGATCAGGGACTCTCTTTTGATTTGGGGCTGTCTTTATCTCCATAGGTCTATCCGGCAAAATGAAGGTGTGATTGTAGCATGTTGGCCCATCTTAATTTAACTGGCAGAGGTAATAGTAGCAGTGAGGACGCAACAGCACTGGCTAGCAACCAAGTTATAAAGTCTTCAGAGACCTTGTGTATATATCTCAAGGTACGTCGACACTGCAGGAACTGCTGCTTGCAGGGATACCCTGAGATAGCCGTCAACAATTTCACAATGAGTGAATTGTTACTTAGTGATGAGCGAGTTAAATAACCGCCACAACATTTATTCCGCTTCTTGGGTGGGTTTTGCAGCTTGTCCTGAGTACCATGCTGCTGTGGATGGGATGCACCTGTTTTAGCTAATGGGAAACAGTGACAGTGTTCTGGATGAACAGTGTAAATGTTCATCCAGACACGTCCTCAGCACGTACGGAATCAATGCTAAGTGACTAAAGATAGAAAATGAGGCGAACAAAGAGAAGACTGGCTCCTCTGTAGAGCAACTTTATGGCTGGCATGTCAGAGGAGGGATGGGGACAAAGTGATGCTTCCACTCCAGTGCTGGCAGTATGAGTCCATACTGGAAAAATGATGACCGGGACCGTTAAAACCCTCCCATGGTGCCTGACTCTGGAAGAAGCAAAGCACTGGCAGAGACCGTGTCATGCTGCAGAACAACCTGCCACTGACTCAGAAGTGGTAGAAATAGAGCATGAAGACTGGGCCTCAAACCCTGAACAACGATATAGGGATGTTACCTGCCACAGACTGGTCCCTGGGGCTCTCGTGTTTTACCCTGTTGCATGGCTTGTGTAAGCTGTCAGAGTCATGAAGGTCCACATAGCTGAACTGAACATCTGGGCTCTGCAGTGGCAGCCAGTGCTTCTCCTCACTGAACTGTACTTGCTTGGTGGAGTCTAGAACTTGGATCTATCATCCTTGCAGGTGGTTTTTGGATGCTAAACCCAACACCACCTTTCTGTGCCCATTGCCTCTCCTGAGAAAGAGCTCGGCTTCCTGTTCAGTTCAGCAGAATTGGACCTTTGGACTTGAAAATAATCTCAGTCTTTCGGCTAACAAGATTCGTCCTCAGGACTTTTTCTTGCATTCTACTTCGAACATCATTTCTACATGCTGCTAATTTTGATAGGGTAATGGGAATGAACTGCACGTGGAGTTGACACTTGTATTATAAATAGTTAGCTTTGATCTGCAATACGTGTTCTAAATGAGATGCACTGAAGTTTTTTAGGAGTCATTCAGGTGTGCTCCTCAACTGATGTAGACTGACTTTGTATCACAAGCCAGTGGAGCTTTGCTGCTCAGATTTGGGATGAGTCTATGGCCTGCATCTTTCTGAATCTCTGTTTTAGTCACACACAAAAAAGCACTCTGGAGTTTTGGTAAACCTTGCTGAGGCCAACAGGAATGATGAAAATCAGGCCATTTGTACTGTGGTTCTGAATTTGAGACTTCAGTTTTCTACAGCTGAGTGCGAAATGCCAGAGATTCCCACTTCTGACGGCCCTTGCAAGGCTGCAACGCCAGCCCAGGTTACAGCCGTCCCCAGCAGAGGTTGGTACTGCAGTAGCCCCACCTGCTGTTGGATAGGAAGGAAGCGGCTTGGTCCTTTAACGCAGTCTGATTATGTGATAGGAGTGAGTCATTTTAGATTACCCTATCTCTTATCACCCTCTTTTACCCTTGCATTCTTCCTTTTGCACCCAATTCTTTGCGGTCCTTATGTTTGTCATATCTTATGTTGATTCTAAGCTCTTTGGGGTGGGAAGTATATCTTATCTCTGCTTGTAAAGCACTAAGTAAATTTACACACAGTATAAGTGCTTGATAATAATAACCCTGATCTTTTGCTTTTACTAGCATTTGGTTTCAAGAGCTCTCTGTGAATCCAAATGAGAAAAAATTACAAAGGCAAAGGTATAATTAGGGTTCCTGAGATGGTTTTATTCTAATCTAAGGCGGGTGACTTTATATTGTTTTTTTCTCTTTAGAAATGAGAACACCATAAACAAGCCTGCCTAGAATAAGAAAGAACATAAGTACGAGGCTTTTCAATTGACCAATACTTGTAAAAAGGATAGGGTGCTAAGCAATGTATTAAGAGACTTTTTCTTAAATTAAACTGCTGCTTTTATGAATATGAGATGAGCACAGTGATCGGGAGTAAGGCTTATTTACACAGCAGAATTCATTTGAGATCAGGGTGCTTTTGGAGCAGAAAAATACTTTTCTGCCCAAAGACTTTCCTTTTTTTATATCATTTATATCTTCTAGGGACAAATTCTGCAAGGTACTTCAGCTCATGCCTGTTCTCAATAACAGTTGTGTTTCAGTCAGCTTGGATGTTGTGAATCAGGATGTAGACCATCAGCTTTTCTTACCCTAGAACAAACCTACAGTTAAAATGATCATTATCTCCCGAAGCATCTTATTTTAGAAGAGTTTGCTACCCTACAGTGTGACACTTTACATTGCATTTGGGATTAGAGAGGGACTCAAACCAGCAAAATTTGGGTCTGGAATGAGATTCCAAATGCTTTGCTTATGAGGATTCCTTAGGCTCATCCGTTAGAAATGTGAAATTGAGAGTGCATGAATGTATGTGTTGTTATTCCTGCTTATAGGATATGATATGTACAGGTAGAAGTAGAGTGAAAAGATGTTGTTATTTAGTTTGGGGGAGTGTGGGGGCTGAGGATAGTTGATATAGTTTAATTTATTACTAAAGTGAGTAGAATTAAAGTTCTGGCATTATCTGGGATGGACAGAGCTTCTTCCAAGATACCTACTCTGCAAAAAGCCAGCAAAACTGGCTTCAGCTGACATTGTGAAACCCTTTGTATTTGTGACATAGCATGTGTTTTACACCTGGGCTTATAAAACTTTTATAAAAAATCTGTTATTAAGTCTCACTATGTCATTTTGATAGGCTGATAGGATAGCTAATAAGCAATGTTGAGCATCTGCTTGTTTCCTGCGTATTGAGAGTTGGATTCGTCGGTGAAGCAAGATTTTAAAAGTCAATAAAACAAAAAAGGCTTAACCACAGATTCTTGATAAATAACGAATATATTTGTTTTATTCATGAATATAATACACTTTCTCTCAAAAGATAGTTTAGACCTTAATTTTTAAGAGGATGTTTGGATTTCTTAGATGAGTAAATGTGTTTGCTTCTGTCTCTGCCTAATCTGCTTTGTGCCTGTGTAACCCAGCAGGGAGAGCACAGCACTTTTTGATATTCTCAGAAGGGGTGAATGTGTCTTGCTTTGAAGATGAGGGAGGCACAATAGTGGTTCATATACTATGTGCAGGTTCTCCATAGAGGTTACACTTTGCCCTGCAAGAACTTAAAATGTCACGACTGCCACAAAGTGCAGTGAATCCAGAAACTCAGTGCATTATGTACAAAGTAAAGAGGAGAGAGAACAATGCAGCTGCTGCATTTCTTGATGCCTTTTGAAATATCGCCTTAGGTATGTTAGATGTATATTATGTTTCACTGCAAGATACCAAGTAGCTGGAAGTGGCCTTATTTGTTTTCTTAGTGTAAAGCATCCTTGCAGGTACCTCTGATGCCAGAGTCATTGCAGTGGTGTGTAACAAGTAAGGATGTGCCCTTGCTTTACCTTACAGGCAAGACCGTCCTTCCCTTTCTAGGAATATTAGTATTCATTTATCCTGGAATCCAGCAGCACCCAGGCGGAGACATCTGGTAACAACATCTGTGTGGCAACTAAGTGTTCTGGTGTCTGTAATTTTCATATGTGAGTGCAGAGTAGATTCAGATATTTGGAAAATTACAAAAGGAATGAAAGTATGTTTTTCTTGAGGAATTCTGTAGGCAAGTGGGTCATCCTTTATTATACTTTTGTTTGCAAATAATGTAGTGAAGACTGATGAACAGGAATCTGGACCTCTGAAGGATAAAGGCATCGTGACAGTCTGTGGAAAGTATTGTTTCTGTTATTAGGTACAGATCATAAACAAATAGGGGACTCTGGAGTGATTGATTAATCTTTTCTTAAAATGCTTGTTAATAATGTGGTGACTCTTCATAAACATGGCAGTTTAACAAATGTATGATCATGTCTACGCATGGGCTCCTGTCAGTCTGCTCACTCAAGAATGGGGCAGAGAAATTATATAGAGGTATTCTATTGTTTACTCAGGGGTTTAGATCTGTTAGAAAGATCTGAGTTAGCCAACAATCTGAACATGCCTAGAGTACATGGCTGAGGTAAGATTTGTAAGGGGAAGTTATTAGTTTATTAAATCTACTGCTAGAGTTGGAAAAAAATACACAATGTTCTGGGCATACAAACCATCCTTAGGGCACTTCAGAGGGATTGATGGCAGCATTTGCTACGTTGAAAGCTCAGTGGATATGAACTTATGTCTGTTTGGCTCAATTACTGTGCTCTGAGCAGTGTAATTTAAATATTGTGTGCTTCCGGAAGGTTAACATTGCTGGTACACTTCATGCTCTTCACTGTAAAAAGCAAGCACTTTAAAAACAAGTGACAATCTTCCATTTGCCACTATGCAATCAGTGAAACTGTTCTGTTGCGATCAAAATTTCCAAGGCTAAAGTCAATTAGAGTGG